GCCTTACCCGCCGCGTATGTCTTCAAGGAAATTTCACGGAATCAACCGGCCTCCGATATCGTAAATTTATAAAAGTGTACAAGTAATTTGAATGCCGTTTTCCTGTTTAAAATGCAAAGATTATTGTTTACGACCTCCAAAGAAAAGATGGATTGAACTGTATGAAAGATGACACGCGTGAAAAAAAAGTAAACTCTGATTATGATCAATGTGCATCTAACTTCAAATAATGCCAAATGGACGGATGACTTTTCTTTTTTATGAAATGAAAGTAGAATGGTAACATTGCCTGCACTATTGGTTTACGCTGACACTTCAGTGGGGGCTGATAAGCGAGGATGAAGTCAGTTCAGTTGCCAAGCTCAACCTCGAAGGTTTTCAAGGGGGCTTATGATAATGTAGTGAACATAATGCCTGGGAGAGAATGTTATATAGTATTAAGTCCGCCTTTTGTACCCGACATTTTTTTTGTAATGTGGTCAATAAAGAATACATAAATAAAATAAATAACATTCTGACCATAGTAAAAACATCAAGGTGGTAAACAGAAAGTGCTATTTTTTATGTGATCCGTAGTTCTTCTCGAGGCACGAGTATGCAGATATTGAATGTTGGTTTTATATTTAAAGATAGAAATCCACCGTTAAAAGGTTAGATATTATAGTTTTAAAAATATACTTAACTAGCATCCGAGAATTCTAAATAACAAACTAAAGTACGTTTAAGTTTATAAATTGATTGCTTGATTATGTAGCTTAAAGTTCATTCTTGGAACACCTTCTTAGCAAACATTGGTCAAGGAAGCTAATCACTTTTCGCACCTTGAATTAGTTTTTTCCTCAACACGGCGACACGGCGACATGGCGGCGGTGTGCGCGGGCGCATCCGCAGTCGCGAGTCCGCGAGTGTGAAGCGCGCGCGCGGGCCTCCACACCGCCCGGCGCGCTCGCTCTTTGCGTTTTTTAGTTTTATTTATTTATATGCAATTAAGTATTACTAGTTTTATTAAGAGACTACGATTCGGTATTATTAATTGCTTTCTGATACGAGGACTTTTTATTTAAATTTTGAATGCTTGTTGTTGAAACTATACCTTTAATTTGCTTACCACATTTTTTTGTACAATTATGTGTAATCAAAGCTGTGTGTAAATAATGTGATTTAAATGATGCACTTGTAATTAGACAGTGGACTCGGTGAGCTCGGTGTAGTGCATTGGACGGACTTGTTAGTAGGTTGTGCGATGGGCAGGCACAGGCGGTGGCGACATTACGGTAAGGTGTTCATTCAAATCTATCTTTACGCCAATTTTTTTTTTGTTTTTGTCGTTTAGTTATATTTTTATCTTATATTATATAGATATAGAGTGTCTCCATATAAATGTTTCGAAAATAGCGCGTCAACTTTTTTATACAATTTTGCGTGATAAGTAGTCATGAGTGTTACCTTTATAACTTCTGTATTTATTTTGTTTTATAATTTTTCCATATTTTTAATGCGAAAAACTAATTTTATTTATTAAACAATTAAATATAGATACGTCAAGATACATTGTGTGCGTCAATATATGGAACTATGATAAAAAAAACGAGTCAGGTAATTTGACAATTAGCTGACAAAAAGTTGGCTTGTTTTTGAGGCTCGATGCTCTGTCTATATAATCTTGAATTTTTTATATATATTACAAAAAAAAATCCGTTCGAGGTAGGCAGAGAGGTCAGACCGCTTCTATTCAGACATACCGCCCTAGCTGCCTCCCTGTTTGTACCGACTAGGATCTACTAGATAATAAAGCGAAAATTTTCAGTTTGCCTTCTTTGCTTTTTTAAAATGAAGTCGCATCTTAAATATAAAATCCCGTGTCGCAGTGTTCCTTCGTACTATAATATTTTATTAAAATTTTGCAAATGTGTATTGTTTGCTCCAATTTGAAATATAGGATAATGTTTATCCTAATTAAAAATTAAACCTGTCGATGTAATGGTGGCTCCGTCTGCGTGGTAGCAGCAGGCGTCTGGGCTTGATAGCTGAGGATTAAGTCAGGTCAGTTGACCCATCGTGACTATTTCACTAGGAAATTGATCGAAATAACCATTTCGATCAATCCCCTGGAAACCTCCAGGGGAATATTTTTTTATGAATGATAATGGAATGGTTTCCCCGCCTGCGCTATCGGTATACACTGGTGGGGTACCAGTGATAGATGACAGGTAAGGATGAAGCAGGATAGTTAGCTCATCATGATGAATTCCACAAGAATTAACCACGATGATTTCCAGAGGGAATCATGTGGAGGTCGACCTTGTTGGGTATATTGCTAGCAATAGAGCTCTTAGTCTCCATTACTAACAGTCCCTTCCCCCTTTCCAGGGGATTATGTTTAGGTGGTAATATGTTGCTAATGAAATTAGGCCGCTAGTCCCCATTTTATTATCACGTGGTGTGGTCCCAGCATAGCCACCCATTCTTTTCCTGTAAGTGTCGTAAGAGGCGATTAAAAGAACTTAATAGTCAAGGGATAGGCAGCAGCGTCCTTCTTAAAACATCTCTAAAAGCCTGAGTGAGTAGTTCCTAGTGAAATGAGTAGTTCCTATGAACAATCACCCTAAAAAGGTATACTTACAGTTAGGTCCCATTGAAAAATTATCAAAATCGGTTCAGTAATTTAATTTTAAATTGAAATAACTGGTTTTACCACAAATGAAGTCGGCTTTTCTTTGTGGGGCACGATGTTGATTGTCATTAATTTAGGTACATATATAATATTGGTCTTTGGAAATGTTTTGTTTGTGCGTGTGACATTAGTACGTGGTGGTTTTTTAATGGATGATAATGGTATGGTAGCCCCGCCCGCGCTAACGGTATACGTTGACGGGGCACCAGTGAAAGATGATAGGTGAGGATGAAAAAAAGACAGGTCAGTTAGCACATCGTGATGAATACACTTGGAATTGAGCACGATGGATTCCAGGAGGAACCATGGGGAGGTCGACCTGCTTGGGTATATTGCTAGCAATAGGGCCTGTTGCGGCCTCTTTGACCGATTTTCTCGCTGGCCGCTAAGACATTCTACAATTAAAACTGACCGCTTGGGACAAAACAAAGGACTTAGACAAAAGACCGAAAAGAAGACGGACATAATTTTGATCACTAATTTGCCTTTTAATTTTTAATACATTTGACGACGAATTCGGACCCTTTAACCTAAAAAGCGGTCCATCGACCTTTCAGGGCCCTTAGTGTCCATTAGTAACAAAATTCCAAAAAAATATTTACTACAATTTTGGGTATACAACATTTGATCTTATAAATTAAAAGTACCTACCTTACAAAATCTACTTAGATCAAGCGTGTGTTAGAATTAAATATTAAATAACTGTAGGGTAATAGATTTATATAGTAATTTAATTACGTAATTATAACTTTACATGGCATATGTATATAATATATTCTTTAGCAATATAAAGGTTGTAAGCCTCTTAGTAATAAATAGAAATAAAGCACAAGTTCTCACAGTTCATTTACTTTAGATATCATACCATTAAATAATATATTTACTTAATATTTGATATATAACAAATAATATAACATAAATACCCAACTTCTGTTAGTCCATTGACACTTATTTAAATATAACTTCTTTAGGAATTCATTAACAATAATTGTGATATATTTTATATAATGACCACGTGGTTCACTATACTTGTTCACTCTTGATACGTCAGGGAGCTCCGCTCTGTTCAACGGTTGGACAAGAAGTGTTGCCTCCCCACCCAAGTAACAGTCTTTTATATCTACAGGCCGAATTCGAGTGAACAAGTCAGCGAGACCACGTGTTCTTACAATTTCATTACTTTTTGTTTAACTATCATGATAATAAATAATTATAAAATTAATTAAAATATAAATTAGTGTTCTATATACATTACACAATAATTTCTTACCAAATTTGGTATAATAACAATTTTAACGTTATATTATATATAAAGTAGTTACTTTGATTTTTATTAATAAATGTAGGTACACATTTTGACACAAGATGTTTAGGAAAATTAATATAATTTAAAATAAATATCTAACACGTGCAAATATTGAAAACAAAAATTACAATAATTTAATTTTAAAGTTTTTTGTAGAATTTAAACATTACGAAATTATATAGATAATAAAATAACACTAATTAAAATATTAAGGAATGCAATACATTTTATTTCGTCGATTAGTTAAAATAGTCCAAATAAATAATATAACAATTGGATATCAACAATAAAAATTAGATGTACCTACTAATGAAAATAAAAAAAGTCAATAAGTAAGATGTAATTATCTAAATTGAATTAAATTATATAATCATGGAGTATTAGCAGCAGGACGCGAGCTGTTATACGTGTACGTGTACGTGCATCCTGCCAATATTATACATGTGAAAGTTTGTAAAGATGTTTGGATGTTGTTATCTAATTATGCTTATATAGCTGCAGGGATTTATTTATTTATTTATTTATTTATTTGAAAATTACTCACCACACTTACAGTTTCCCAAAACGTGTAGAGAGCCATAGTTTTATTTTACAAACTTACAAATTTTGTACAACATTTTAAAAATATATTTCTTTTGTAATTAAATATGTCAATATCTGGCTGCTGAGCAATCAGAGAATTGAGCAGAGAAATAGCCTGATACGTGGGAGCAAACTGAGCAGTACAGGTGCGAACCGGCGGTGCCGATAGTAGTTTGAATTAACAACTGAGATTTATTTATTTAACATCAAAATCCTTCTTCTTTTAAAAAACAACTTACATGCTAAGCCTCTTATAAAAACAGCCAATAACGGATTTCAATTATATAAACTAATTGTATAAGTTTAAAGCATAGTAAGACAAGGCGAGTGAAGTCGGTTGATTAATGTATAAATGAAATAAAATTTAAAGGTATAAAGATGGTCGGTCTAATATACCTGCGGGCAACTGCTAAATATGTGCTAACTATGTGGTTGCAGACAGCGCGCCGACAGTAGGCGGCTGTAAGCCCGGCGACTGCAAGAACGGCGGGCAGTGCGTGGGCGTGGATGCGGGCGTGGGCGTGGGCGTGGGCGTGGACGTGGGCGGCGTGGCCGAGTGCCGCTGCGGCGGCGCGTGGGGCGGGCCGCGCTGCTCGCAGTACGTGGGGCACGACCACGCGTGCCTGCACCACTGCTCGCCGCCCTCCTTCTGCGTCTGGCGGCCCGTCGGTCCGTACACCGCACACGCACACCCAAACCCACCACGCACCCACGCACGCACGCACGCACGCACCGCACACACACACGCACACGCACACGCACAGTATCACCGCAAAGTGAGGCGTCCGTGGTAGACGCTCTCATTTGTGGCCATCCATGGCAACTAATGTCACTGTGATATTTTACTTTTTCAACTGAAACACAGCCATGCAAACGCAATTCTTAGCTCAGTAACAAAAACACATGTGGGACAGAACAATCTGAATACCAGTATCGGGGTTTTCTCACTATTTCTTTAATCGGTTCTTCAAGGAAAGTGTATAAAAGTTGCTTAACATATATGACGTAGCTAGTGCCGCAACGTCTGCCCTCCACATACGAGCTATAGTAACCGCTCAAATCATAGCTATTATGGTATAAAAAATGGTTTCCTCATGAAAAGCTTGTGCTTCGCCATGATGTACTGTTATGTTTCTAATTTAATAAATCTATTTGGAATGGTGTTGTGCGCACAGTGGACCCGTCGTCCCCGGGCGTGCCGCACTGCGCGTGCCCGGCGGGCGCCAGCTGCTCGCCGCCCGCGGCGGTAGCGGGAGCGGACGCGGACGCGGACGCGGCGGCGGGCGCGGCGGCGGGCGCGGCGGCGGGCGCGGCGGCGGGCGGCGGGGCGTGGGCGGGCGCGGCGCTGGCGCTGGCGGCGCTGCTCGCGCTCGTAGCCGCCGCGCTGTACCTCTTACACAGGCGGAAACAGTCAGTACAGCCTACCTGGAACATTGCTAGCTGCCGTCTAAATAGCCCAATATCTGCCTCTTATGGACGGAAACTGTGTCCTACAGTAGGACGTTAATAAGTTACGCCGGCGATAGTAACCTTTGGCATATAGCTTAACCAAAGATATGTTCCACTACTGTAAATACACTGCTATACTGGAAGAAAAGTTTGTGTTACCGTGAAACCGGACGAGATGCAACTGGCGTCATAAATTACAGCAACATTTACAATACCTAGAGATGAAACAATAAGTAGACCTGATGGCCCAATATTCAGCGACCGGTGCCCGGCGCTCTCGATTACACAAAGAATTGTGAAAATCGGTTCCGATTTAGCGACTTAATCGCTAATCAGTGTAAACCTCCCTTTTAGAAGGTCGTTTCAAATAATTGTTTTATAAACTGATACTGGCATAAATGGTGTTTCATTGTCGTGTATGGATTTTAACCCTCTGACCGTGTATTTTTTTTTACAACAATAAAACACATCGCTTTGACAACAAATAGCTGTACGGGTATGTAGCCATCTAGCGAGATTCTGAGAAGCAATATCGATTTAGCAAAACAAAAATGGCGGGATAACAACATCAATAAACAAAAAATGCGAGCACGTCTCTACTGAACTCGTCTCAACTAGAGGATACTGCATGCGGACATCGCTGGATGCCCGCTCAGGGGGTTAATGACCAATTGTCAATTGACAGTAATATATAGTTTTTTTAATGTAGTATTGTATAGGTATTAGTATATGCGTGAGCCTATGCTGAGCGAGCGTGTTGCGTGTTGCGTGTTGCAGCGGCGCGTTCGTGCACGCGCGGCTGGCGGACAACGTGGAGATCAACAACCCCATGTACCTGGCCGGCGACGACGAGCCCGAGCCGCGCCCCGCGCCCGCGCACCAGGTCAGCCACGCCCACCCTGCGCTTTGTTGCTAATGACGTATCTTCTACATAACTGTATAATGGAGGATCAAGCTGTCTTTCATAGTTCGCTGGATTCTGATAAAGCACACCATCTTTCCAGTTGTGCTCATTTCTCGCGATAGAAATTCGAGGTTACAAATGAGGAAGAGTTTTCGTCACTCTAATTAAAATATTTGCTAAAAATGTTTCAACGTATCTAACTTTTTAGCCGTATAGGTCCCGGCATACAATAGGCCACCGTTTCCTTTCCCGTAAATGTCGTAAGAGGCCACTAAAGGAATGCGAGGGATGTACAGCAGCAGTCCCTCCTGAAATATTACCAAAAGTCAAATTACGGTTCCCATCTCACCTGCCATGCGTGGCAACTACTGGCAACTTCTCCCCCCCCCCCCCCCTTATGGGGAAGGCTATGTTCAGCAGTGGACAGTTAACAGTTGATACAACAACATCTGACTCATATTATATACATAGTATTTACAAGTTACAGTTTTTTTGTTACTTAGAATGTCAAAGAAGCTGACGGCCCGCCTGATCGAATGAAGTAACCGTCGCCTATAGACATAAGCAGTACCATGGACATAACAGAGTATACTGTTTCGCCCATGATACCCCCCATGCGTTGCCATTCCTGTAGACTCAGGTGTTATTCCTCTGTACCCAGTAAATTCACTGCCATATTCCACCCTTCAAACCGAACAGCCATGCAAACACAACTGCTTCACGGTTGAAACACGAGTGAAATAGAGGTACCCAAGCAAACGACTTTTGTACAAAGTCTCCCTCTGGTAAAGTTTAAAACTATTGTCAAACTTTAAAATCAATTCGTTTCATTCATAACATGTATGTGTTATTACAGAACGGAGGCAACCACTTCGCCAACCCGGTGTACGAGAGTATGTACGTGCCGCAACAGAACCCCACGGAGGTGAGGCCACCTTGTTATTATTATCTAACTTAACACCAAATACTGCGGTGCGTGGTAGGCAGGGAGGGCCGATTGCCAAGCGTCTGCATATACTGCAAGTACCGAAGAAGGTGTGCACTGATCTATATCAGATAGATCATGTTATATCTGGCCTGCGTACGTGAGACGAATTACGAAAGTAGATCGCACAGAAACTGATCTGAATGAGGGCAACTGGGACGTCAGACCATGACCAACACCATCCCCCCTTCACCCCCCCCCCCCCCCAGCCGACAACGATCAGTCAGATTGCGACTAACTTTGTGGTATTCACATTGTCGTCATCAGAACTGGTCTTAGCTCACCTGGTGCTCGTGAACAATTCTTTTAATGCTTTGTAAAGACTTTTTCACTTCGAAGACTATTAGGTCTTTGTTGGACCTCGCCACCTCCCTCAGATTGGGGGAAAGGAATTGGTAATAATAAGGTCTAACAGTTTTTTTTGCTAGCAATGTACTCTATCAGGTCGACCTCCACGCGGTTCCCTCTGGAAAGCATGGAATTCTCGGGGAATTCGTCACGATGGGCTAACTTGCCTGCTCTCATCCTCACCTATCATCCCTCACTGGTGCCTCGCCAGCGTATACCGATAGCGCAGGCGGGCGTACCATTCCATTTTCACCCATCAAAAAAAACTCTCAGATCTGTTCAGCGCGTAACGCCGGTAGTGATGATCATGTAACCACGTGTACAGGAGCACGCGAACTTGCTGGGCGCGAGCGCGGCGGATGGCTCGTCGCCGCCGCCCGAGCGGTCCGCGCTGCTGTGAACATGCCGCCGGCGTGCTGCCCGGCCACGCGGCGGCTGCACCACCACGCCACGTCGCCACCGCGCCCTGCTCACTGTACACGCGCCGGTTTCTCTTAGTTTTAACTATTGTACAATGATTGGCATCACGTACCATGATTCTGAAAAGAACAAAATGACCTATAGGAATGTAATATTAAAAAAGGATAGTGTCTAAATATCCCATCTTGCTCACCTATGGAGAGAGCTTAAAGTTACGAAAATTATTGGTCCAAACAATATTTTTTTCTATTTAGGGAGAGGTCACTTTATTTTGGTGTTAAATTCATGATGGGCAGTTACTTTAAATGCTTTAAGATAATGCTCAATATTAGAACGGCCCTAACTGATCATGTTTTACTTGTAATGTAAGGGTTTACTCTCCATTGAATCTAAATACATGACATGAACATACATGACGTGAACATACATGACGTGAACATACATGACATGTTTCTCCTCTATATACAGCGAATAACTACATCTTGCCTTTATGATAAAGTTTATTTATTATAAAAGAAATAATTTATCGACAAATCGACATTATAATGTAGTACATTATTTGTACGACGCGTCGCACCGCAACCAATCCGTACTGCGTACCTATAATTATAATAGGTAATTATAGTTGTTGAGCGAGCGACCTTGACTCAAACAGCCACGTAATTTAATTTATAAATCCTACTTCAAATTATGACATTATATTATTACATTATTTCAAGGAATAATTTATTTTCGCTTTTATTACATGAGTAAATATATTGAGACATTAATTTTCGTTAATTATAGAAAATACATAATATACCTGCATGTAAGTTAAAATCAATTTTTAGTTATACAAATAAAAAAAATTCAACTATATATATATATATATATATATATATATATATATATATATATATATATGATCCTTTTGTGTTACTATGACACACGCTTTAAAAGAAAATATTGTTACTTCTTCTATGTATTTTGCTTTTTCTTAATATGCATTCTTTTATCTCTTTTTACTGTGTACTCTGTCTGTTTTTATTTACATGCTGCAAGTAATACAAATAAATTATATATCTACGTATCCAAATCGTTACAATATCCTTGTCTTATAATGAATATATGACAAGGGTAGCAAGTTGTCGATGCATTAATACGAGGTATAGCTCGATCGCTTCACATCTGATGTACAGTCTTGCTCGTGCGAGGGCACTGCGTCTTCTTGCCAAACTGTATTTTATAATTTCGAGTAAAACTTGAGTCGCTCGTTGCAGCGATTAGTTTTGTCAGGTTTTATTCATTCATGTGGCATTATTTAATTAGGCATCTCATTATATTATATTATATATATGTTTGTCACATTTAATAGTTTACTTTTGTAGCTGTGACTTGCTAAAGTCGAACTTTCTCGAACTATTTTGAACAATGAATAAATACTTACGAATACGAATTAATACTTTAAGTAGACAATTGTTTTTTACATTTTATTTAATAGTTGTGATGAGTCTATAGTTGTAAATACCGCGAGACAATTGTTTAGTTGTTAAGTACATTGACATGTAAGGTACTGACGTTCCCTACTGTACAGGCCGGGGGAAGTAATTTAGTACGATTTACATCAAACGGTACGACGGAGCGCTTTTTGTATGGCTATTTTGTGAATTGTAATATTATAGAGTTATTTACTACTTCTTATAATATAAATAATAATAAAAAAAGGAATTAATAGTAATTTACATGAAATTTAAAAGTTTATACATATGATAATAGGCGAACTATATAGTTTAATTTATTTATTTATTTATTATTTTTTTCTTTATCAAGAATTAGCGCGGCTGGCTTTTGGCCACAGCAAAACATCAGTTTTGTTCTTTTGAGAGCAAAACAATAAACTGAGTTGTGACAATTGTGTTATTGTGACACGCTCACGAAAAATTATGTTACCTTTTTATATGTACTTTCTATTTGTTTTATTTTTTGTATATGTATGATTTTTTTACTTTTTTTAAGTAAATGTGTACCAATATCTGATGTTATTTGTGTGCTGTAAGTGATACAAATAAATTATACAATATATCTGTGTATCTATATATATTTTTTTCTTTTTTCTATATTGTAAAATGCATTTTTACACGCTCCACCTCGCACCGTCCGGTGTAAATCGTACACACTTTAATGTGACATTATTGAAAAATCGTACCGTATTCAATAATTTTTGCAATGCTCAAAATCACAGTATTGTGTGCCATATTTAAAAAGTAATGTAATGTTTGTTGTGAGCTATTGGAGTTCCTCGAATCAATACTCGCGGTTAGTGCGTAGCTAATGTGAGCTCGACCACTTGTAAACTGTAGGTTGTAGGTTGTATGCACACTGTTGTAATATAAAGTTATCATTTATCGTATATATATATATATATATATATATATATATATATATATATATATATATATATATATAATTCACAAACATTCGTTTGGGTATGATTTAATCTATAAAATGTAAACACAAGACACTGCATTATGTATTGATCTCTCTTTTATACCTTTTTATGCTATTATATATTAAGATTTTTGTAAAACAAAGATATTATTTGTATCACAATTTTGAATTCTATCAATCTGATGCAATTCACTACTTTCAGCTCGATTGTTTTCGTAATTGTAAATTTACAGAAATAAACACGCGAAATAAAATTAATAAAAATATTTTACAAATTATTTGCGGTTTTACCGCCATATTTATTTTATATTGTTCTTACGACACCCCGTTTATTAAATCTACGAAGCCGTCGAGGCTACTGGTTCGCCAAAGATTCATATACGTACATCGATCGATATCATAAATTTTTTGGTGGTCGGATAAAATTCAATTTACTCGTTTATTATATCGAATAGAAATAAATAATGATTTAATTTGGATAATTTTCTATTTTTTTAGTACATTTTTATATAATTGAAAAAAATATTAATAACAAATCCATGTTATTTTATAAATTATATTTAGTGTGTGTATCGTTCGAACAATACAATAATGGTTGTGTGTATTTTAGTTATTCCAAATTCAAACTTTATAATAAACAAGAATTGTACTTATCTTTTTTTTTTTGTATTAATGGCGCGAAATTGTACAGTCAGTTTCATAATTTTTGGTCGGTTGGCAGCTAAATTGAATGATATGTACACGCATTATGACGTGCACAAGAAATAAAAAAATATATCTTTTATTGATATAAGAGATAAATATTATGTTGGCATTATCATCATCAGTTCACAGCTGGACGTAATCACTTCCAAGATGGCCTACTTGTACGACAAAAAAGACATCACAATATATTATATATGTGTACCAGTAAATTTATAGCGACTGGTGGAGAGTTAAATATTGACGTGAACCTAAATGTGTGTGTACATATCGACTGCATATCATTGCAAAAGAGCATAGGCGCTTTTAGAAATTTCACGTAACACAGTAACACCTTATATTATTTATTTATTAAACTGTAATACACTTGGTGTAAATGGCGGACTTAATACCATATATAACAACTCTTTATATTGTGTGACATAAGCATGAAAACTTTTAGATGAAGTTGAAACAATTATAATATACTAAAAAAAAAAAAACGTAAACTATGATATTGTACTACGACATATTTTAAAAGCGTCCAATCTTTTTTTTTTTAATAATTTTACCGACAGCGTTAGAGTAGTAATATGGATTTGCAAACAAGACGTTAGGTATGAAGGCATAACATTTTAGTCCTACAGAACTATAAACTATACTCTATAGAGGTCTATAGGCGACGGTTGCCGCTCTTCAGGCGGGCCGTCAGCTTGTTTGCCATACCAAGTATTTAAAAATAGTTACGTATAAAAATCTTTTATCAAGCTATACCAGATGTTAGCAGAATAGATCCCTGTTCATTGTCAACGTTCCAATTTATATGAACAAACAACTTGTAGTGTTTAAGTACGGCTTAGGTTAAGGTTGTCTGAGAAATAAAACTATCACGAACCATTCAATGTTTATTATTTACATCACAAACTGTTCCCGTGTCGTCCACAGCGCCGAAATATAACAAATTTGTTTACCCAATTATTTTAGTCTTGAATATTATCTGTGACATTCTTTGAAGTGTATAATAAAGAGGTTTTATACATTTACCCAATTAACCAATTAATGCGAGGGTTTTTCTGTGAAATGAGGTCAACTGGCGCACTGGCGCACACACTAAATTCCAACGAGCATATAATAAATATATGTGGTGAGATAATACTCACCAATATTTATTATATATTTATTTATTTATATCATGACGCTTGGTCACGGGACTCACTCGCAAGATCGCAGATGCGCAGGTGGCGCAGGCGCTTTGTGATTATTGGCTGCGCGTGCACTAGAGACTAGAGTGTTTTGTTAACTTGGACAATTTAAAAATGTATTTGTTTTATTGTGAAATACTTGTTTTTTTTTTTTAATTATTGATTAAATTTGTTTACAATATGAACCCTACTATCAATGCTACAACTGGTGACCCCGTGAGAACCGCACACAGCAGTAGTAGTATTATCTCGCCACATATACACTAAGCTCTGTGAAATATAAACGGGCGAGAAGGTATCGCTCCAGATAAAAATATAAACATAATATTTATAAGTAGCGAGAGGTGTTTGGGATAAAGCAAATCGGAACACATTTCATGCACGAGATGGTATCGTTCGAGATGCTTTAGTGGTTAAAGCAATTAATATTATAAGGTACTCGACAGCCGGTAAATGAATAGGCTCACAGTTGCAGTCTTTGTCGGGCTAGAATCAAACAAGGGGGCGTGTATCAATTGTTATCGATTTCCCCGAATATTATTAGGATCGAAATTGGGCGACGAACTTACTGACAACAAGACTGATAGATATATTACTTGAACATATTGTGAATATATACATATTAGCTTTTACCCGTGACTTCTTCCACGTGACCGGGATATGTTTAAGAAATTTAATATAGATTGGTAAGTAGTTAAGGCACTATACTTCTAATATTATTCGAGAATCGAACCTGTATCTATAGGAAGGTGAGGTAATGATCAAGTCGTCGATTAAAAATATTGCTATTATATTTCGGTATTGTGGATGCTTCAGTACATATTGACTACAGGTCACATTCAGTTTAAATATTTATTTATAATAAAATATGTGCATAATTATACCATAACATTAATTGGCAATGCATGGGAGGTATCATGGGCGAAACAGTATACTCTGTTATGTCCATGGGTGCTGCTCATGTCTATAGGCGACGGTTACCACTTTCCATCAGGTGGGCCGTCAGCTTGTTTGCCATTCTAAGTTGTATAAAAAAACCCATTACATATAATTTTGTATAGACATTTCAACATTTACAATAAAAAAAATATATATATAGCATTCGACAGTATTCGATATTAGACTCTCTTCAAGACAAGTGCATTGCAGACAAATCTAATAATTTAACAAAAAAAAAAGACGTATATTAATTCGATTGTATTTTTTGTTTACATGTTACTTACTAATTGTTAACTGGTTTGATGATTCCTATTTATTCGAGAAAATTTTCATAATTTCCAAAAAAAAAAGTAAATTACATTTAAAAGGACAACTTAAGTATTATTTTCGATATAGAGAGAGTAATAATAAAAATTTGCATCTGACACTTAAGATTCCCACCGCCCTGTACATACACATACACAAGTAACACACGTATGTATAGACTGTCTACGTTAACACGGCACGCCCTTCCAACTTGACTTCAATATGTGTGACCGACCATATACAGATGTGGTGCTCTGTCTGTGTTTGTGATAGAACGTCTCTAGTAGTGGTGCGACCAGAGGAGTATTTTTTTATACAACTTAAAATGGCAAACAAGCTGACGGCCCACCTGATGGAAAGTGGTAACCGTCACCTATAGACATGAGCAGTACCATGGACATAACATAGTATACTGTTTCGCCCATGATACCTCCCATGCGTTGCCATTCCTGAGGACTCAGGTGTTATTCCTCTGTACCCAGTAAATTCACGCCATATCGCACCCTTCAAATCGAAACACAGCCATGCAAACACAACTGCTTCACGGTAGAAACACGAATGGGACGGAGGTACCCAAGCAATCGACTTTTGTACAAAGTCTCCGTCTGGTGTATATATTGTTTGGTTGAAACCTTGTAAATATTTTTACTCATCCACTTTTAATTGTTTCGGTTTTGGAGAGGCGTGCCATGTTATCGTAGACAATCTATACTGATTGTGTAGTGTGTGTGGGGGGGGGGGGGGGGGGGGGGGGGGGGGGGGCTGTCTAGATCCGCCGGGGAGCCGCTGCTCAGTAGAAGTCGTCGTGGCTGGTCTGCTTGGCGGCCTGGTTCTTCACCTGGTCCTGCGACAGGTACATCTCCACGATCTGCTGCGCGCTCGTCGCTTGCTCGGGAGTTTTGTCGTCGCGCTCGCGGATGAATCTGGAAACATTCGCGTGTAGATCAATTATTGCTATATTATACATATATATATATTTAGAAACAGTTTTCCATGGCTTATAAGAGAAAATATATATATATATATATATATATATATATATATATATATATATATATATATATATATATATATAGAACAATATGGTCCTTGAATACGATCAAACGAAAAGAAAATATTTTACTTTCAATAGCTACCCGAACCTTTTTGGTTTTTTAAAAATTTTTGGTTTTTTTGGGGGTGTTTTTTTTTCAATGGACGATAAAATGGTTAAACTGGTCTGCGTTAATGGTGTATGTTGGCGGGGCACCAGTGTGGAATGATAGGTGAGGATGAAAAGGCAGGTCAGTTACTTCATTGTAATGAATATACCAGGAACCACAATGGTTTTCATGGGGAACCGCGGGGAGGTTGACCTGATAGGGAGTATTGCTGGCAATAGGACTGGTAGTCCGCATTACTAAGAGACCTCATCAATATGGCTGTGAACGTGCAGTATATACCTGGGGAAGCGCAGCGAGAGTCCCTTGTCGGGGTGCAGGCGGCCGCGCGCGGCGCGGTGCGCGGGCGACAGCGACAGGTCAGCACAGCGGACCTCCCACACGCAGGCCGCCGCCAGCCACACGTCCGGCCGGTGCGCGGCGTCGAACCTGCACACGACACCGCCGCGTACACACAGCTTGCAACTGCGGCCATATTGCTTTGCAAACACAGCTCGCCTGTTCCATTCTCAGTCGAGCCAATTTAAGAATCTAAGTTTTCTGAACTGGTTCAAGATAGACACAACCGAGTACTGGGAGTATACAACAGTACTGAGAGGAAAAGAGGGAGACTTTGTACAAAAGTCGATTTGCTTGGGTACCTTTGTCCCATTCGTGTTTCAACCGTGTTTGCATGGCTGTGTTTCGGTTTGAAGGATGGGATATGGCGTGAATTTACAGGGTACAGAGGAATAACACCCGAGTCCTCAGGAATGGCAACGCATGGGGGGTATCATGGGCGAAACAGTATACTCTGTTATGTCCATGGTACTGTTCATATCTATAGGCGACGGTTACCACTTTCCATCAGGTGGGCCGTCAGCTTGTTTGACATTCTAAGTCGTATAAAAAAAAACAGGATCGTAGGAAACAAGCGACTAGTGTAATCATATAGAACTTCTTATTATTCTTTTAGGTTTTCCTCTTTGCAGGTTTAAAACTATGTATCTGCTACTTTACATATATGTATACAGACAATTTTACATTTACAGGTACTTTCCATTAGATGGTCGATAGATTGATTGCCATTCTGAGTCTTCAAATAACACTTTAACAAAGTTTTGATAAGAATGTTTTTTTTTTTTTTGCTAGGTGAAATGGTATGGTAACCCCGCCTGCGCTAACGGGATACGCTGGCGGAGCACCAGTGAAGGGTGATAGATGAGAATGAAAACAGGCCAGTTAGCCCATCGTGGTGAATTCATCAGGAATTAACCATGATAGTTTCCAGGGAGAACCACGAGGAGATCGACCTGGTTGGGTATATTGCTAGCAATACGATTCTCAGTCTCCATTACTAACAATCCCTTTCCCCCCTGATAAGAATGTTATTAAAACACGTTGTGTAGAGGCATACATGAGCGTTCGACTTTCGAGGAAGACCCTTCCCTTTTAAGTATTTCCAATTTTTGAGATTAGTAAGGGGAGGTGGGGGGAGCATTAGCAATTGGCACCCTCTAATCTTTAGCACCGACCTGTAGTAATTCCTGGGCGCGTCGATGACATGTTCCTTGAGCGCGGTACTGAGCTTGTGCAGGTCGTCGTCGGAGAAGCCGGTGCCAATCTTGCAGAGCGACTGGTACTCCTCGGTGTCGGGGTCGTAGCAGGCCAGCAGGAAGCCGCCGAACACGCCGGCGCGCTTACCCTTCCCGTGGTAGCCGCCTATCACCACCACGTCCAGCGAGTCGCCGCAGCCTTCCAGGTAGTCCTTCTTCAGCTGCAGTTGTGAAAATAAGGAGCTAATGCTGAGCTGAACATTCAGTAGTCAGAATATGTGACGAAACATATCAAACGTCTTTCTGTCAAAAAGCTATTTAGAACAGTTTGTATAACAAAAACTAAAGTCGATATTTTAGTTTTATATTATTCCTGGTAATTTTTACCAATTTTCTCTTTGTAAGAACTTATCTCAAACTTCAATGAATATTTATTTATTTATTTAAAGGAACACCAACAGCATATTGCACTATAACATATAGGTGTAACAAACATTAAATATAATACAATATTAATACACATGCCTATTATAGGTATTCACAGCATTCACTTTAACATAGTTATACAGTGCGAGAAAATGAAGTAAATAATAAAAACAAACATGTAACCCAAGTTGTGAGCAATATCAGAAACTACGATTATGAGTGAATTCAATTAAAAAATAAAAAAAAAAAACTGAATTAGACATTTGCATATTCTACGTTTAGCAATACATTTAGTGATTTATTTATATAAATGAAAAAATTTGTCCCCATTTGTAAAAATACCACTAATAGTCTGGGAAACTTTAATCGAATTACTTGCAACACTGTAAAACGGCACACAAATATGACTAAAAAAACGGAAACAGTTTGTTCTTAAAATTGTTCGCTAAATGTTAAAGTATGACTACCTAAACTACGGCCCGTCTTAGACTTTAGATATTCCATTTTGAAGCGTTCCATTTCCAAGTAGTGGGTACCTAGCAATTATTGGGTAACACTATAGACATGTATGTCGTGTGGTCCCGGCATAGAATAGGCTACACCTTCCTTTCCCGTGGGTGTCGTAACAGGCGACTAACATAGGATGGGATGGGTAGCGTCCCTCGTAAAATATCTCCAAGCCTTATTGCGGTTGCGAATCTGCTTGCCAAGCGTGGCAACTACTGGACAATCCCCCCAAGGTGAAGACTTATATTTAGAAGTGGACAGTTAAAAGCTGATATGATGACTACAGACATGAGGAGAGATGGCGAGTGGACGCGTGGCGGTCTTCCACCGTGCGTTTTTCAAGGCACTTTCATCCACGCACAACCATTCTTTGGAATTAACTTCCAGCAGCAGTATTTCCGAACCGATACGACAACATAACCTTCAAGAAAAGAGTATATTCCTTTTTAAAAGGCCGGCAGCACACTTGCAATGCCGCTGGTGTTGTGGGTGATCATAGGCGGCGGTAGTCACTTACCATCAGGTGAGCCGCATGCTCGTTTGCCCCCTATGTTGTAAAAAAAAAATGTAGCGTTACCTTGAGCCAGTTGTGGGAGCGCCGCGCGATGTCGTACCGCGAGTTGTCGCCGGTGAGCATCTTCACCATAAGCCCCTCGCACGAGCCGCGGATGGCCTCGTCCAGGAACTGCTGCACCTCCTCCATTGTGCTGCAGTCTTTGGACGTCGCGAACTGCCACTCGCCTGGTATACAGTTGTATATTAGAAAGAGGTATAGCAGTGAAATTTTCAGAGCCGTTCCTTGTGGCAGTCTATGAGGGAGGCCTGTGTTCAGCACTGGACAGATAATGGGTAACACGATGATAAAATTAATTAAACGGGCCCAAGCTCGGTGGTTACTTGTCATGTATTTACTTAAAATAGGCGTTGTTTTGGCTTATTTAGGTCTTTTTTTAATGGATGATAATGGAATGGTATCCCCACCCGCGCTATCGGTATACACCGGCGGGGCAGCAGTGAAGGATGATAGGTGAGGATGAAGCAGGTCAGTTAGCCCATCGTGACAAATTCAACAAGAATTGTTCACCATGGTTTCCAGGGGGAACCACGTGGAGGTCGACCTAGTAGGGCATATTGCTAGCAATGGGGCTGTCAAATTCCATTGCTAACAATCCCTTTTCCCCCGGATTATTTAGGTTTGTTTTCCATTTGATCGCATCTTGGAAAGGGCACCAGGCGACTCTGGGGTGGGCACGGTCCACCCAGCCCCTCTAAATAAGCCTACACCTTCTTTATTTACTAGCGGCACGCAACAGTTACCGACCGGGCACTTGGTTGAAGTGTTCCCGCAGCAGCTGGCGGCGCGTGGCGAGGTGTTCCCGCACGAGGGACCGGCCGTTGAGGTACAGCAGGTCGAACACGAACACGCACACCTGCACCTTGATATCCTCCTCGCGGGCGTCCTTGCGCTTGCGGGTCGACAGCACCTGCTCGGACGAGGAATAGCGTTTGAAATACCTATGGAATATGATACTGAACGATTTCTGCAAACGGATCACAGTGTGCGGGAGATGACTGAAAGTTAGCGGAACTTAACAATATTATGAACCAGCGTGTCTACTGTGAAATGAAATTCCGAAATTTCAGTCTCAATTTCGTGTTTTTGTTTATACCAAAATCGGACCAATAAATGGAGTTGAGCATTTCGTTCGTCTTACATCCTATCATAAATGTGCAAAGGAACAATATTTTAACATTTTAAATATTTCCAAACACCATGTATTATGTAATTTTAACATCAAATTTGTGTTTCGTTTAGCTTCTTTTTTTATACAACTTAGAATGGCAAACAAGCTGACGGCCCACCTGATGTAAAGTAGTAACCGTCGCCTATAGACATGAGCAGTAGCATGGACATAACAAAGTATACCGTTTCGTTCATGATACCTCCCATGCGTTGCCATTCCTGAGGACTCAGGTGTTATTCCTCTGTACCCAGTAAATTCACGCCATATCCCATCCTTCAAACCGAAACACAGCCATGCAAACAACTGCTTTACGGTTGAAACACGAATGGGACAGAGGTGCCCAAGCAATCGACTTTTGTACAAAGTCTCCCTCTGGTAAATATATAGTATATACTAATACTGTGCAGAGGGAAGCGGTATACCTGGAAGGGCAGTATCTGCTTGTTGGCGACGTCGTACGCGACCGCCTCGCAGTCGAGCACGCAGCTCGTGACGCTCGGCTTCAGCAGCGACGGCAGCCGCCGCAGCACGTCCGGGTACTTGCTGCGCCACGACAGACGAGAGGACAATCAGATTCTACGCTAGTCTGTCTTTAACAGCAATATAGAACATGTATAAATTAGGAACAGCATCTCTACTCCACCTATTACAGGACTCCATTCTTGTTCTCTTTTTAATTTTTTTTTTTTTTATTTTAAATAATTAGACTAAAGAGTATAAACATGAAAGTGGTTTTATACTGTACTAAAATAAATTGATGACGGCCTAAGAACAAGGAATTACATAGAAGGAATGATAAAATAAAAGCTAAATAATATGGTTGCCTTCTTTCTTTTTATGCAAATATAATTAGTAAGAAGGGGACGAAAGATACACCATCAGTTGTTTTTAATTCTTAATTCATATCAGGCTAGTGTATAGAAAATGCTACATATGTCAATTATTTGTCAATGACAAATTTTACATTACTACATTGTATATTGGACACAGTTTATAAGTATACAATGTAGGAAGTATGCGAGCAGGTTGCATCTGAATTTGGTAGGATTATACGGCCGTATAACATTTTCTATATACTAGCCTGATATGAATTGACAATCTGATCACTTGTATGTAATTGACTGCTGTTAGGTGTGGGCACTGGGCACTGGGCACTGGGCACTGGACACTGTACTGACGTGGTGTTGTTCTCCTGGTTGCGGCTGAAGACGGCGGCGTGGTGCAGGCGCGGCGCCGCGTCGCCCGGCACGTGCAGCTGCGCGCGCTCGCCGTCGTACTTCCACTCGCATGTCAACTGCTCGCCTTCGAACCTGCTCAAACAGGAATTATTTACTAAAAACAGGGATTCTGACGCGAGCGCCATATTCAGCGTATCATTAGCCGAATATGATCAAAATTAGAATTGACACTGAATAGAGGAAGATTAGGAGAAATATGGGTTTCAATAGTTGATAATGGAAGAGGGAGACTTTGTACAAAAGTCGATTGCTTAGGTACCTCTGTCCCATCCGTGTTTCAACCGTGAAGCAGCTGTGTTTGCACGACTGTGTTTCGGTTTGAAGGGTGGGATTTAGCGTGAATTTACAGAGGAATAACACCTGAGTCCTCAGGAATGGCAACGCATGGAGGGTATCATGGGCGAAACAGTATACTCTGTTATGTCCATGGTACTGCTCATGTCTATAGGTGACGGTTACCACTTTCCATCAGGTGGGCCGTCAGCTTGTTTGCCATTCTAAGTTGTATAAAAAAAAAATATATAAAAAAAAACTCTGCTTGTGAGTTCCAATATGTAGATGGTTGTGCTAGAGAGGGATAATAGAAACAAAAATATTGGCTACAAAAAACAGGATACGCTGACGGAGCACCAGTGGAGGGTGACAGATGAGAATGAAAACAGGCCAGTTAGCCCGTCATGATGAATTCATCAGGAATTAAACATGATAGTTTCCAGGGGGAACCGCAAGGAGGTCGACCTGGTTGGGTATATTGCTAGCAATGGGGTTCTCAGTCTCCATTACTAACAATCCCTTTTCTCCCCTCTTAGTATCGTTATGTAAAAGAATTTACAAAAGAAAAAAATCAAAATGTCCTTATTTCAACATTAAACCATCAACAGCGGGCTCCCAACCCACAGTTGTTAGCACTGATATTCTGATAGTGAGAATGGAGATAGGTCAATTAGCTTATTATACCAAAACCACCAAAATTAACTGCTATTTATAAGGAATGAGTGATCGATGAGTGGAGTGAATGTTGTACGTGGTACCTGTCGAAGATCTCGTGGACGCCACGCGTGGGATGCGCCAGCATGGGCTTGAGCGGCGTGCCGGGCTCGAGGCGGCAGTGCAGCGGCAGGCTCGGCACGCCGTGCTGCAGCAGCGCCGCCACCACGCGCCCGTAGTCGGGGCACTCGCAGTACGTCGTCTTTATTATCAGCGCGTGCTCGTCCACGCGCGCCTTTTAATTCAATAAACAATAAAAAATGTTTATCCTATATAGCATATTCCATATTTGTCCATAGACAGTGAAAATCAGAGAGAGAAGTTATAATAGTACATTGCTGCAGCGGCCAGCAACTGAGGCATTGAGGGACGAACGTGCAAATGTGGGCCGAGGCGTAGCCGAGGCACACATACGTGAGTCCATCAATGCCTAGTTGTGGCCAAGGCTTGTATAGTAATTTTCTCAAACAATGCGCGGAAATCAAAGACACAATTTTACTTTTTAAGTTCAATGACGAATAACGAGCAATAATAATTTTTCACGCGCCACAATGTTCGTTCGTTTTTTTTTTTCAATAAACAGCTTTGTATTTGCAAGCCAGTGCGAAATTTAAATAAAACCTTTTATTAGTCACCTCCTTGGTAGCTATGTTTCGAAGTAAAAGGTTATTCCATTTTTAAATTACAGGACAGATATAAGTTTACATAGTAATTTATCTGGCCGCAAAACATGACAAATATGGATTTTCATACAACTTTTGCCGGCCGCTGACCACATGTATCTGACCAGGACGGCAATTTTGATTTATCTCGAAGAAGATTGTCAAAATAATGCTCATTTTTCCAAACATGTTTGAGAAAAAGTCATTTGCGTGGGTTCTTCTGACTCACATGTGTTTCAATCATAAAAAAACTATACTTGCAGAGGAAAAGGGATCGTTAGTAATGGGGTCTAACTGCTCCATTGCTTGCAATCTACTCACATATCACATCTTCTTGGAAACCATTGTAATTAATAATTGTTGAATTCGTCACAATGGGCCAACTGAGCTGCTTCATCCTCACCTATCATCCTTCACTAGTACCCCACCAGTGTATACCGACAGCGCTAGTGGGGTCACTATTTCATTTTTACACATTAGAAAAAAAAACTTAACTAAACCATAAATAAATAAAAAAAAAAACTAACTAAAACTTGGAGCATATCACAATGAGATTACAAGGTACGAAAGCATAATTTCATTTTAAAACATGTCAATGCATTATGAGTACCATGGGAGTATCCTATAATGTCCATGGTACTATTTCTGCCGATGGGTGATGGTTTCTATTTTATATGTGAGTTGTCAGCTTTTTTAACATTTTAAGGCAAATAAAAATAATGTAAATGTACCTTGAACTCTTCGGTGGAGAGTCCCTTGGAGGCGTCGAGCACGGTGACGCCCTGCGGGTGTGGTGGCGTGGTGGCCGTGGCGACGGCCAGCGCCTGCAGCACCGACTGCTCCGCCAGACCGATGCGGAGCTTGCCTTCCAGCGACCTGATCATGCCACAATGGTATTCAGCATTAAAACAGAGGGTAGTATTTAGAGATGAAAGCAATTCGGACCAGGGGGATTTGAACGTGAGGCTGGTATGTGAGCAAAACATACAGGATTGTTAGCAATGGAGTTTGACAGCCCTATTGCTAGCAATATACCTTATTAGGTTGGCCTCCACGTGGTTTCCCCTGGAAACCATCGTGAATAATTCTTGTTGAATTCGTCACGATGGGCTCTAACTGGCCTGCTTCATCCTCACCTATCATCCTTCACCGGTGCCCCGCCGGTGTATACCGATAGCGCGGGTGGGGTTACCATTCCATTATCATCCATTTAAAAATATTGGAGGAGGGAAGGAGAGCTTGGTTTATGTTCATTTTGACATGATGTTTATATAACGTGTACTTGTGAACAGTTACCTTATTAAATACTTCGCCTCACAATGTCTGCACGCAACAAACAGCGTCTGAATCTTGGCTATCTTTTTATTAACCGACGCCTGGCCTGCAACGGTGGAATTTTATACATTTCTTTAATTATTTTATTATACAAGTGTTCTCACATGAAAAAAATCAAATCCCACCAAGTGTTAACATCACTTCTTTGAATTACATCAAAAGATTTATTACTTTTTTTTTCTGTACATCATTTTAATGAATATACTTTATTTATTATAATTTTCATTAAAATAATATACAGTATTCTTATTAATATAATTATTATGTATCAAAAATAAATAATTGTTGTCAAATAACTTGAATTAATACAATTTAATTATATAATTATAGTAAGGAGTATATTGTATATAAAAAAAAACAGAACAAAGTTTAAAAACCATAAGAGAAAAACCAAAATAAAAGATGTCACAGACTGTACAAGACAAAAACAAGGTGTTAGACTGAACATGTTATGATGGGGGATAAAAAATAGATGGGGAGATGACCTGAAGGAAGTGGTAAGACCAAAGTGGCGTCAAACTACTCAAGATAGAGAGAAGTGGAAATTGTTGGAGGCGGCCTATGTCACAAGACAAATTGATCTACACTAATATTATAGAGAGGAAAGATTTGTATTTTTGTATGTTTGTAATGAATAAACTCAAAAATTACTGTCCATTTCAAAAAATCTTTCACCATTAGAAAGCTACATTCACCCTGAGTAACATAGGCTATATTTATTGCTAGAAAGGATTAGGGATCCTTACTAAAACTTTAGTAGCGTATCTCAAGGTGTAAAAAATACTATAAAATATCTTTCGTGAAATTGTAGTATTAGTAATTGAAGACTATTAAATAAATGAATATAAAAAATGTATAACATCTAATGGAACTCTGCATCGTTGTAGTGTACTGTAGTGCTGGGTAGTGTTCTGTAGTACACTGTAGTATGGCGTAGTTTACTATAATGCAGGACAGTGCAGCGTAGTTTGGTGTAGCTGAGGATAGTGCAGGGTAGCGTATCATGGAGCAGCGTAGCGTGTTGTAGCGTTGTATAATGTAGTATAGTGTAGCACGACGTAGTGTAGCGTAGCGTGGTGCGGTGTAGTGTAGCGTAACGCTGTGCAGCGTAGTGTGGTGTGGTGTTGCGTAGCGCGGTGTAGTGTAGCGTGGTGTGGCGCGGTGCAGCGTAGTGTGGTGTGGTGTTGCGTAGCGCGGTGTAGCGTGGTGTGGCGCGGTGCAGCGTAGTGTGGTGTGGTGTTGCGTAGCGCGGTGTAGTGTAGCGTGGTGGTGCGCACCGGTCATGGCGGCGACGTCCTGGAGCGCGGCGAAGACGTGGCGCGCGGCGAGCGGCGGCGGCGCGCGCAGCGTGCGCTGCGTGTGGCGCGCGGCGGCGGCGGCGGCGGCCAGGTCGCCGGCCGCGCGCGCCGCCGCGCGCACCTGCGCCAGCGACCGGCCCGTGCTCTGCCCCACCGCCTTCATCAGGTACGTCTCCGCGATGCCTGCGCGCACACGCACACCTACACGTACACGTACACACATGCACACGCACACGCACACCGCAACGCTCACTCATATATTCCATATTCATCCGGCGCGAAGGACCGCTACGATACTTTGTCTATACCCCACTGATAATAGTATAGTTGTAGAAAATTTATCAATACATTACAATATTAGTAATTATAAAATATCATGGGCACTGTTAAGTAGCGATTGGGACTATTTCGTAAATTAGCTATTCTTGTTCATCATGTTGAAAACGTTTATCAGTAATATAGCTACTAGTATGTAGTGACATCGACAAAATTCAAGTATGCACATATACACAAAATATGAGTACTCATAAATTTATTTAATTAATGAGTTACTGCAAGTGCCATATTTTAAAATTATATGTCGGAATCACTGAATTATTACACATTGTAATAAAAAAAGAAAACTAAATAAATTAACAATTATTTTGTAGAAATTTGTCTTATTGTTGAATACAAAACTACAAGTACACTTCAATTGTGTTACAAATGACAGTAACTTTGATCTGAATTGATGAATTTGATCACTGAACAACAATCAAACAATTAACAACTCAAATTTTTTTTTTATGGAAATTAGCAAACTAGCTGACGGCCCACCTGATGAAAAGTGTTAATCGTCGCATATAGGCGACGATTACCACTTTTCATCAGGTGGGCTTTCATAGTACTGCTCATGTTTATAAACATGAGCAGTACTATGGACATAACAGAGTATACTATTTCGCTCATGATACCCCCCCATGCATTGCTATTCCTGAGGACTCAGGTGTTATTCCTCTATATCCTGTAAATTCACTGCCATATCTCAAACTGAAGCATAGCCATGCAAACACAACCACTTCATGGTAGAAACACAATGGAGAGAGGTCCCTAAGCAAATAATTTTTGTACAGTCTGCCTCTGGTAAACTGTATAATTACTGTAGCCAGTAAATATTAACAACAAATTACATACCAAGTTCCAAACTATGATATGCAGGTGCCAACTGATTCAAACACATGTAGATACTTGGCAAGAGATCCTCTGGAGTCAATGCTATCACTGAACGAAAGTAGTTGCTTAGAATCTCAACCATCTTGAGCCGAGCTGATGTCCCCTCAATGGCCTCTAGTGTCTTGGCCAACGCTAGATATGGTACCGCCTGTCCCTTACTCCAGCAAGCATCGTCAATTGGATGGTATTTCGACTTGGCTGGGTTGTAATCCACTTCTGTTGAATTAAAAATTGTAATGTGTCAGTACAATGATACAAGCTAGGTTTAGTTTATTTGATCATAATCATATCAGCAGTTAAGTGTCCACTGCTGAATACAGGGGCTCCCTCATAAAGGAGGGTTTTTCCACAGACTTTTATCTTGTTGTGCGAGCCTGTTAGCAAGCAGTTGCAACGAATCCCTAACGAGATGGAACTCATCTCAATCAAAATTGGCCGTACCTACGTTGAATCAACGACTATCAAAACGTTTATTACATCTAGACAGAAAAAACCTCAAAATAGAAATAGGGATAATAACGTGTTGTTGTTATGCCACTAAACAAACATCTATACACAATAGGAGCCACACACATACATGCATACAATTCAATTACCTAAATGGTCAACAAGAAAGAAATTTTAACAATCCAACCCCTAAAGAGGTAAAATGGGGTTGCATAGGAGTTACAAGTTTATATTTATTGATTTTTGAAGAATGGGTAAACCCCAATTGGGTGAAATAGGAAATGAAAGATTTACAGGTGTTTTATGATAATTGAAATTAGAAATATAAAACTTTAGTTTTATAGTTCTGATTGAAAAATAAATATATATAAAGATATACATACACATTTCTCTGGTGAGAATGACAGGGAGAGAATTGAACATAAAAGCTACACCCTACACTAGACATATTACATTATGTAAATAATTTAACAAATTAATTGTAAAATAACTTTTAAGAAATAAATACCTGCAACTAAAATTTTGCATTTTTCATCATTAACTTTGGAAGCCTCCAGATCCTTGTCAAGGAGACCATTTTGTTTCACATCTTTTTCTTCTTTTAATTCTTCTTTATTTTTTAATACTGTACTCTTTATAACATCTGGAGAGGGACTTCTTTCCTTTTTTACAGTGGCATTACTATTTAGAAATGGAGATGTTTTACCTATGACATTTTTTGGGGATTTCTCTTCCTTAACTGCAATTTTATTTTTTTTCGGTGAAGGACTTTTATTTTCTTTCTTTTTCGCACTCTGGACCTCCTTTTTTATGTTAGCTTTCTTACTTTTGGGTGAATTGTATGTTTTTGGAGGATTATCACTCTTAAGGATTTTGATTTCTGCGCCACTATCTGCTTGTGCCTCTGACTCACTGCCTGAGCTTTCTATTCGTTGACGTTTTCCTTTATTTTTCTGAAATAATAAAATATTTTTAATAAATCAAAATATTAATACCATAGAAATCTAGTTACTTTGACAGAGTGTTTGTGCACAAAGCCTAATGAGTGTACCACATTAAATAAAAGCATGATTAGTTCAACAAACTCTCTTCCATATACCTACCGAATGGCACCAAATGAGGATTTTAAGGCTGAGTAGCGGTCACTGGCTGCAACATGCCGAGAGAAACCGATTTTTTTTATGCAACTTAGAATGGCAAATAAGCTAATGGCCCACCTGATGGAAAGTGATAACCATCATCTATAGACATGAGCAATACAATGGATATAACAAAGTATACTGTTTCGCTCATGATACACTAATGAGGACTCAGGTGTTATTCTTCTATACCCTGTAAATTCACAATTTTTGCATGCCTAATTGTGGCGAAATATGTGGACTTAATATTATTTTATCTATCTGTATATTTACCATATTTTTTGTAAATAAATATTCATCCATTCATTCATTCATGTCATATCCCACTCTTCAAATCAAAACATAGCCATACAAACATAACTGCTTCACAGTAGAAACATAAATGGGACAGAGATGCCCAAGCAAACAACTTTTATACAAAGTCTGCCTCTGGTGAAATAGTGAAATATCTTAAGGATGAAATGTTCTGAAATTCTAAAAACACTAAATACATTTAAATACCTTTCCAGAATTGGTTTGTGGTGAAGCAGATGCTGATGGTGACTCACTGCCACTGCTGTCTAACCTCGGCCTCTTTGATGATCTCTGTAAAAGACATGGTGTAATAATTGAAATAATACCACAAACTAAATTTTATCAAAAAGCCAAAACAGGAATGTTACTTTGGTTTGGCCATTTAGAGAGGATGGATGAGAGAAGAATTACGAAAGAGACTTATTCAGCAAGAACGAATAATGATAATGGTAGGCGCCGCCCTAGACAGACATATGTCGATAAAATACATGACATGCTGAAAAAGGGCCAGATTTAAAGTACTCAGCATGTTAAGTATGTATAAAAACATTTATGAATGTGGAAGAAGCAGAAGAGATTTGTTTGACTCAAAACACTTGATTATTTCTGCTTACCCTAATGGGAGGTAGGTGTGACATATATACATATATATCACTCCTTTATATATGCATCATATTTGCTCTTATGGACTATATGTCATTCATATTCCATAAGATTAACAATATAGTTTGTCTAAATAACATTAAGTAGGGTGGCAATAGCAACATTGGTACTATATCAACTTGTCATCAGGGCCAGTAACACACACATGACTCCTCTCTTTTGATATCAGAAGCATTTAAAAACCACAATAATTAATAGTAGTAAACTCTTAAAACCAAAATAAGCTACTACTATAAACAGCTACTTACTAGTAGAAAAATGAATAGGACAAAAGCACTAAAGATTTTCCCTTAAAAGTCACCCTCTGATAATGAAGAAAATAAAAGGATTAAAATATACAAATTTAAAAGTGTCTCACCTTCTCTGTTTTTGTGTTATTTGGAGAATTTTCATTGCTTGATGATTCATTATTGGTAATATCTTGATCCTGAAATATAAATCACAAATGTATATCTTACAAGCTGCATTCCCTTAGCACAGTCTAGATTTATATGTATGTATGTCATTAATATCATAATTATTTAGTCAGTTTAAAAAACAGCTCTTTATATCTCTTTATCCCTTTGACACTTTGTAATGAAATTTCATTAGATGCTGGGAATTAGATCTAAAATTACATCTGGACATTGAGAGAATACATGATATATTTACATGTATCCAAAAAAGTTAATCCTTAAAAGTCTTATTTTTTAAATCAAATTAAAAAATATATAATTTTTACCCTTTACTGTGTTTACTAATGGGGAAAAATAGTAAAAAAATCAAAACGAGATTTTTATATATTTATTTTGAAAAAACATTTGGTATCATTTTTGATACTTTAGGCATTACGGTAATCAAAATATTTAACTTTATTTAACAATGAGACAATGCAAACCCTGGTATCAAATTTGAAACTTCAGGTATTTAAGGGTTAATAGGACATATTTCTAAACCAATAATAGTACATATGTGAAATACAAATAGTGAGAATGTTAAATAAAAATGTAATACGTAAAAAATTACGTGTTTTTTCAATAGCATGATACTCACTTCATTCTTTTCCTGTTTTATTTCAACAGGTTTCTTAGGGGTGATCTTAAAAAAAGACGTAATACTTTTCTGAGACATTTTTCTAACACCAAAAGTAATTGGCGGCAAAACTAACGTTGAAACTTTGAGACTTGTATTGTTTAAGTGTAAACTTAGAATTGCTAATCTACAAGATATTAATTTTGAGAGAATACCCATCAACAATTATTTATAATCAAATTTGATCAATCGTTATTTATTAGATTTCTAAATGAATTTATATAAAATGTTTCCATTTCAACAAATGTAAACAAGTTTTAAGGATGCCTTTTTTTTTTTTTAGTACGTTTGTTCCGTTTGGAACAGGCTAAGGTCGGAGACCATGCTGCCTAGTCTTCAGAAAGATAATTTGTCTGGAATTTTATTAAGGATGCCTATAGTAAAACATAATTAATGTGACAGCAATAATGTGAAGTATCAGAGTAATAAAGAATGACTATTATCATTTATCAAAAATGCAAGTACTGTTCTTAATCTATGGTCACGGGTGATTGTTATTGTTAGTGCCACCACAGACAACATGAAAACAGACTAAGCATGACGGCTTAAAAAGCATGCCAAAACACATATTTGCATACACACACTAATACAAAAGACTTGTATACCTAAGAACAGAAAATCTTTGTTGTTAAATCATCAATTTTTTTACGATTTTACCAGATTTTACTGCTGGGTTACTTTATTGTGTACATGATAATTTTACATTTGCATTAGTACTGTGACTATTGTGGTATACAAAACTCTTTACAAATACTGGTTTGTTTTTCTTTCATTGACTTATAATAATAATAAATAATAAACTTTATTTTCCTTAAACAAAGCCAATGATACAATATAACTAATAATAATAATAAATTTATTTTTTTATACAAAGGTAGTTACATTACAGGGTTTGGTATCTCCTGTTAAGCAAAGATTGCTTGTGTTAGGAGAAACCGCTCTTTCATAACAATAATTAAATTTCATAATCATTACAATTTATTTTTCTTTTTTTAATCAGCATTAAAAATATTACTTTGTTTTACTTTTATACAATAATACTAAAAAATTTACATATCATAAAAAAGAAAAAGTGTATTTATGATAAATGTGCTTGTGTATATGTGCTTGTGCTGCGTGTGCGTGTGCGTGTGCGTGTGCGTGTGTGTGTGTGCGTGTGTGTGTGTGTGTGTGTGTGTGTGTGTGTGTGTGTGTGTGTGTGTGTGTGTGTGTGTGTGTGTGTGTGTGTGTGTGTGTGTGTGTGTGTGTGTGACCTCTCCTGACGAAGCAGCGTCCCCGTTGCTTTCTGGACACGACTGTTCCACCTGGTTCTCGATCTGGCTTAGTCCAAACTGTAGGTCTTCCTGATAGGGTTCGGACTGCTGTTGAGAGGCGGTCGATGCCAAATCTTCATAGTCTGTAAACCATAAACCAAAGTTGTTGGAAATTCATATCTATAAGAAATCATGCTACCACACAAGGCTTTACCCATGATTTAGTATAGTAGTCCAACGCCTTAAGAGGCTTCATATATAGGGTCCAATAGTACACTCGATGCCGCACAAGGCCTTACTCGAGGATTAAAGATATACTCGATGCCACACAAGGCCTTATACGAGGATTATAGATAGACTCGATGCCACACAAGGCCTTATACGAGGATTAAAGGTACACTCGATTGCTTTGGACAGAATTGACTTTTGTGACCAATCAAATTACAATTATAACACCTAAATTGCTTATCAGTATTGATGGATCGTTTATGATCTCGATTAGCGAATGAGGCATTAACTGATCTATGATTACGTATCTGGAAAGTGTTGTGGGTATTTAAGCGATTTGGTTTTGTATAGATAGATAAGAATTCCACTACGTTCTCTGGATTTAAGTTTACATTTATCGCGGCGGCACGTATCTGGGGGTCTTTCATTCCTCGAACGATTATTGCGCATAAAAGTTCGTCACTCAATCCCTTTACTATACGTAATCGCAACAAAGATCTACGAGCATAATCTGCATATGTAGGGTAGTTATTAGAGTCTTTGCACATTACATCGAAAAGTATATTTGCAATATTGACGCGCCGTGGGCACAATGATTTCAGTTCTAATTTAAAATTTGACCAAGTACGATCATTGCTAGTCCATTCGCATAGCCATGACCTGGCCTCACCCTTTAATGATAAACCTACACGAGCGAAGCACTGCCACTCGTCACATTGGTTCAGCGAACGAGCTCAATCCACCTCATCACACCATTCGTCAACATCGCGAATACTCGGATCGAAATCAGATATATAGTAATGTGTGGATCTTACCGGATTAATGGCATTGAGAGCGTCGATGAGACACTCCGTGATGTCCGTCGACACGGAGCCAGTGGCACTTGCGATACTGGCATCGCTACGCTGCACGACTGTTGCTGTAGGTGGCGCTGGCGTAGTGGGAGCGGATGCTGTTTCAGCTACCGCGTCCCTCACAGAAGTTATTGCTGGGCGTAATCCCGCGATAACAGGACTATTGGCTCGCTGCTCTAGGGTTGCCAGACTCCACTGTTGCAGCTAGGTTTCCTAAATTTGGTTGGGAAACGGGCGGAGATGCGCGCTCTCGTGGAGGTGGGCGTCGTCTACTCAACATATTGTCACAACCAAAAATGGCATTCGCGGCTTGAATGGCCTCGAATCCTACTTCTGATTTTAGCAATAAATCTTATTTTAAATAAAAAAAAAATTTAATAAACACCAAAATAATTCGTATAATTTAATAGAACATTTTATACAAGATTTCTGTCTAACAAATTTGATAAAGGTACGACATTAATATATTCAGAGATGTGTTCGAACGTGCATCTGACAACCAAATGGCCGATCCATTTGTTTTCGTCCATTTTTATAGTTGCGCCGAGCGGTGGGGAGACTCAAGTAGGGGATATCTCTATTTTTTCTTTTGTCCTTCTAGGCACGTCAGTCCCATCGTACCTTAATAAATTTTGGGACATCATTGTATATATTTTAACAATCAAAAGACACCATCAAATCAAATAATATGAATGAAAAGAATGTCGTGGACCAAAAAAAAACTTAATAATCTATGGTCCGATACAGGCTTCAAGGAATCTACATTAAAACCTACATCCAACCACATTATACACCATCCTCGCGTCGTCGGACGAGAGCCATATTTTAGCGAACTCAACCATCATGCCGCAGATAGATATTTTAATGTAGTTTGATATTCAAATACGATATTATTTTCATAATCGTTTTTGTAAAATATTATTCTTTTTGCACTCACTATTATTAACTTAATTCTAAAAACAAAATTGAAGTACATTGATTTTTAGTTAACATGATATAACTAATAACAATAAATAGGTAATTAAGAATGATTAACAATAGAATAAGTTTGGGACGTATTTTTTTGTAATATATGTCAAACCTGGTAAATAATACCCTACTCCCTGATTCGCTTGCTTTTGGCCGCAACAGAATATCAGTGCTTTGCTCTTTTGAGGGCGAAGCAATAAACTGAGTTGTGATCATTTTGTATTGTTATGGCACACGCACAAACGAAAAATTGTATTTGGTAAAGCCAAATACAATTTTTCGTTTGTGCGTGTATTTTTTTTTAATAATTTATGTTATTTCGTTTTTTATGTATATTAGTATATGTTTTAATTTGTGTGCTGTAAGTAATGTAATTAAATTATCTATCTATCTATCTATTATAGGTTCATTCGTTGAAAAAACGAGTATAGAATTATTATCATTCATTTATTTTCTCACCATCAAATTTTGTAACCAATTGTTACATTACAGTGGTGAATAGTATTTCCTCTTTTAACAGCTATTAAAATTTAAAAGTTTGTGTAACGTTGATAAACTTGGACTTTAGCATGTGTATGCGAAGAAGTCGGTCAATGCAGACTCCTATATAGATTCATACATCACACACAATATGTAATGCAATGTCTATGGACATCATTTTAACAATTGACCATCGAAGGAGGCTTTAAACGAAAATTGTAGAATCATAGATAAGGTTTTATAAAGAAAAATGCTTCATTCAATCAGTCACCCTTCAACTTTAGAGAATAATGATGTTGAGTTTTGAGAATTAATTTTAGTAGAATATCCGAACGTAACAAAAACATTTCCTGTAAAATAAACAATGTCTTTAATAATAAAGGCTTAAATTATAAATAACATTATAAGTAGTATAGTGTAATTAAAATGATAAATTTAATTTGCAATATTACTTTGCAACTCTGATTATTTTAATCAAAAAGTATTACAATTGGATTAAAACCTGGAATTTATTTTGCTAAGATGGCTCCCTCTAGTAGTTAAATTGTCAACTATCCGCGTGTCGTCCATGTTCCGAATGTGGTGTGACTTATTTTTGTTTTGTGTTAATTTTCAATTAGGATATTATAAATGTGAAATGCAAAAGCATGTGTTATCCCATATAGTGGAACCTTGCTCTGGCTGAATGGATCCCGCCGTCGCGTGGTATCAGCCCGAGCAGGAAGGACCCGCGAAGCGCCTGTGGCTTCGTATCTGGGAAACTCAAAGTGAAATAGACAAAATGAATTTAAAGAACTTAGAGAACGCTAATCCTAATGTGAATAAGGCCCAAGACTTTATACCAATAAATGATGTGAACGGTGAAACTAGGAATAACAATTATTTCAACCCAGCCCGGAGGAAAATGAACGACAACCGCGCATCAACGTTTAACCTGAACAAAAATCGCGATGCGCTCATAGGAGAATTTGGAGGTTGCCCGTGGAGGGTGCCTAATTATACTTATAAGCCTGGTATTTTGGGGTAAGTAGTCATAATGGACTAATCACTATCGCTTATCGCTGTCAAACGTGTGTAGCATGTTGGTTAGAGTTGGTACGGCGTGTTGTCACTGAAATATGTACTGACGGCCCGTGGCCGGTGCAGAGCGCGTTACGGTTCCGCAAACTAAATACATTCGCGAATTGAGCACTTGGTATTTTTCTCGTCAGACAGCCTGCGAATTTTCTGTGCCTGTTTGCAGGAATGCTCACTTTCCATAACTATAAAATCAATGCAAAAAAAAAAATTGAGAGTCCATGGTGTCATATCAATAAAATTGTGGCAAGATGTATTTTCAATTGTGACAAAAATGTGTGATTTTTTTGTGCAGTTGATTTTATTTACGTAATTTTATAACTCTGATTAAGACTAGAAACATAAAAAAGTGTAATATTTTAAAGGATCTTAAATATTGTCACTTGTTCAAGTCATACAATACAATTCTCACAATGACATCTGTGATTCCTCCCTGAAGATTAATGTATGCCTAAATGCACCAAATAATGATAAATATTTTTATTACAATGGTAACATTATTTACATGTCTATAGTACTGTATTATGTTCATAGTGCACTGAAAATTATATTAAACATACCTCATTCGAGTCTTAACATTTTCCTTTTAACATTTGATCAAAAAGATTCATCAAATTAGATCAGTGTCTCTGAAATAGGAGAACTCAAAAAATAATAAAAACAATAATATAAAGTTTTGTTTTTTTATTTTATTTTGGTACAAACAGTTATTACAAAAAAAATATAGTTATTATAAAAACTGTTATTCTATTTATTTGTAAGTTTAAATTAAAATAACAATACATAACATTGTTATTTAGATTTGAAGTGTAAGTGAATATACAATTAAAATTTTGTTTTCATACATACATATCTGTCACACCTGTCTCCCATTAGGGTAGGCAAACAAAATGGATAACCATATTCTTCAATTCAAACAGATCTCTTTCACTTCCTGTGCATTCATCAATCTTTTTGTTTTCATTTCATTGATTGTTTATTTCACTGTCTTATTATACATATTTTTCTTATATTATACATTTTTTGGAGCATTCCATACAACTTTAAATTTGATTGCATTTTAAAATTTCACTTACAACAACATTCCTTCCTGTGACAGTCAGCAGCATTTTTCAACTGAACATAATAAATAATAGAAATATTCATAAAATGCTGAACAAAAATATTTATAATATTACAAATAAAAAATAAAAAAAATATTTTCTCACTATAGCTATGCTTGACCTGTGGTTTTGCCTGTGATAATGTATTGATCTAGGACATGGTTCGTCTCTATATGAAATTTTATTCAAATCCGTTGATGCAAACCTCTAATCAAATTGTGCTAATTTTGACATTTATAATTAAATTTATATTAGTGTAAGATTTTTAGTCAAATTTGCTTCTGAATATATGTATTTTATTGTTTATAAGCCTATTAACGAGTTTATATTTTCCAAAGTTATAATAAGGGGATAAAATGTTCTATCTATCTTCAGAGCTTTGATCCTGGACAAAATTGAATGAATCCATTGATAGAATTGTTATTGCTAATAGGTTCATGAGATAGAATGAGATGATGGTATGCACTGTCTTGTTCTTTCACATGTGTGAATGTTCATTGAATTAATTCTATTAATACATATAGTTTGTACTTTGTGTAGAGAGACAGGCCCCCTGTGAAGTAGTTAGTAATGAATACTTTTTTAAATATTGCCAAAAGCCTACCTTGTCAAATTCTGATTTGATTTTGATAAATCTTGTTACAATTGATAGGGTTTACTCCAATTTTAGTTTGGTGACGATTGCAGCTGACATTTTTTTGCAGAGCAAAATTGTTGCGAAGCAACGTCATTACAGACAAAATTCTGCATTGAAAATTAAAATATTTTCAGCCCCAATCAACTGAATATATTTTATTAAATTGGGACTAATATTTATGTTCCTTACATATAATCTTTACCAGTGTTTTTTTTTTGTCACAATTGACATTGTAATTTTTTTATGGAGAAAATGGTACTTGTAAAATATTAAATTTAGCTTCGTAGGATACTTTTAAAAGAATATTTGTTTTTATTTAAGGTAACTCATTACATTTATGTTCTAGTCATACTGTATGTCAGTCTGTAATTCATCATCTATCACTGTAGCGGCAGTGTGTGACATTGATACATGACGTGAACAATGCCTGTTAACGGCTTGTTACGACTGCCTGTCTACCAGAGGTGTGGGCAACGTGATATGAACTTTTAAAAAATAAAAATTACAGGAAGACATTTATGGTAATAGGCTGTCTAATGCAGGAGTTCCTAAACTTTTAAGATAACGGGATGCTCCTCAAATACATATATACTATAATTTTATGGAACAACACATTAAAAGGATAAGAAATCAAAAACACTGTAGTTTAAATAAAAATAAAACTTATTAAAAATATTATAAAAGTATAGTACTTAGTAGTATGTATATAGGTTCCTTTAATTTATAATGTGAAGAATGAAAACTATGTAAACAATTAATCAATCAATAATTTATTTCTGAAACATTGTTTGTTAGATTGTTAGAAACAATAGATTGTTAAAATACATTTACCAAATTGGACACATTTTTTTATTTTTTAATATATATGCTGTATATTTGTTTTTTTTTAATGGATGATAATGGAATGGCAATCCCGCCTGCGCTAACGATATACACCCACGGGGTACCAGTGAGGAATGACAGGTGTGATGAAAAGGCAGGTCAGAGTTAGCCCATCGTGATAAATACAGCTGGGATTCAGTACGATGGTTTCCAGGGGGGACCACGTGGAGGTCGATCTCACAGGATATATTGCTAGCAATAAGACTGGTAGTCTAACAATTACCAACGATACCTTCCCCTCTGCTCAATATAGGTAATCATTATTATTGTTATTTGGTTTTTTTAACCTATTTATACATGATATATTGCTAGCAATGGGACTGGTAGTCCGCACTGCTAACAAGTCCACCCCTCCACCCCCCCGTGTATATTTGATCATGGCCTAATAGTGATATAATCGTGATTGCAATACCGCCGGGTGCACTGACTGTTATTGACAAGGTCGCATTCGTCGCGCCCTGGCCAATAATTATTCGGTCTCAATGCTGCATGAAAAAAAATCTATTGAATTAACTAAATACTAACAACAAATATTCTAAAGTTTTTTCATTCCGCCAAAATGACTAAAACCACTTGCGTGTATATATATACATATGTATGTATTATTTATTTTATATATTTAACACTATTGCACTAACATTACAGAATTTTTTTTAATGGGTGATAATGCAATAGTCTGCGCTAACGATGTACGCTGGCGGGGCACCAGTGATAGATGATAGATGACGATGAAAGCAGGTCAGTTAGCCCATCGTGAAGAATTCCACGTGAGAAGTAACCACGATGTTTCCAGGGGGAACCACGTGGAGGTCGACCTGATTAGTAACATTGCTAGCATTGGGGCTGTTAAGACCCATCGCTAACAATCCCTTTCCCCCCACATTACAGGATTTGTTGAACAATTTTCGATAAGTATAGTGTTGTACAAAAGGCGGTCTTGTTGCTAAGCAATCTCTTCCAGACAACCTTTGGGTAGAAAGAATTAAAGAATAAATAGACAGGTGGCGCGTTAAAATAATAGATCTGTAAAAATAACATGAAATAATAAATATCTGTGACAGCATAATCATATACACATATATAAATATATATTATTTAGATTCGGCAAACGTTCTGCCATATATTTCTTTCTAGGTAGAGACACCTTATTCACGTAGCGGTATGAAATATACTTTACGATCTGTTCTCATACCTATCATATATATATACATAAAAAAATTCATAAAAATTGGTCGATCTGTTTCGCAGAAGTTCGACTACAAATACTGTGACCCAAGATCTTTATATATAATATTAGCATTTCGCATGGGGGGTATCATGGGCGAAACAGTATATTTTGTTATATCCATGGCACTGCTCATGTCTATAGGCGACGGTTACCACTTTCCATCAGGTGGACCGTCAGCGTGTTTGCCCTTCTAAGTTGCAAAAAAAAAAAGTGAATTTTAGATATAGAAAAACCAATGTGTAGAATATTTCTAGATGGCGCATCAAGGTGAAGCATACTCTAGTTTTTAAGTTACACTATCAGAAATATAACTGTGTAAAACGCATTTCATTTGACGTAATAGTTTTTGCGTGATGCTGGAACAAATATTCTAAAAATTATTGATTTTGTTTCTACTGCCTTTATATAGATCCCATTACCATTACATATATATATATATATATATATATATATATATATATATATATATATATATATATATATATATATATAACATTACATACAGATATATCCATAATTAAGTACATAGTCCATTCAGTGCATTTGTATAAATTATTAATTATATTACTTTAGTAATATTACGACAGTACTTTAGGTACGCACTGAGTTTTCAAGATTGATAATCATTTTATGTAATAGCGATGCGTCTAAAGCCAGCCACCCCTTAGAAACTTACAATTTCGTTATAATATCCGTCTGCGTGTGTGTCCGTGTGTCGCGTCATGACGTGCTAGCTTAATCTGATAAACAGGAACATGTAGGAGGATAACCTTCATACCATTTAGTACTAGCTACCTGCCCCGGCTTCGCACGGCTGCTAATTATTGTACGTACCAACCTTAGATTATACAAATAGTGTCTACATAGAAACGCTTAAAAAAAAATGGGTCAATTTTTTCATACAATTTTGCGTGACTAATAGTTATGAGTGATTCCTTTATAACTTCTATATTTATCTTGTCTCGTAATTTCTGCATCTTTTTAACGCGTAAACACTTTTATTTATTAAATAATACGTCATGATACATTTTATGCGTAAGTATATAAGACGGTGATAAAAAAAAAGTCAGCTAATTTGACAGTTAGATGACAAAAA